GTATTGGTTGCGTTGTCACGACTACTAGATATGCAGGATAGACTGCTGGTATGGCTCAGGGTCTCTCTGTACCAATGTCCGGCCTAGCCAAGGGCTCTAGTTCGGCCAACTCTTGCCGCACTGGAAAAAGGCGCCAAGTATGAAAACATTACTTTCACCCGTATGCCCGCCTCTATTCCTAATGGATGCGCGAAAGGAGCGCAGAGACCTCAGCACGTCCTGGAAGCACTGCACCGTTAGAATCATGAAAATAATTATTAGCCTCGTTGCATGTCCGCAAAATGCGGACATTGGGCGACTACTGGCACCTTGCTCCTTCTAGTAGTGGATATACATGTACAGCTCCAAGTGTGAAGTGATGGGTAAAGAAAATTAATGACAACTCGCCGGCACAATGTTCACACAATCCAAGGAAAGCTTATACATGTACATGACCAGGTCACATGACCAGGTCATGTAGTATTTTGAGACAATCATAGAAGATCACTGCGGCATGCGAGTTCAGAGGTTCGGCCGGTTTGGTTCCTTGTGAACGTTAGCCGCCAGGCCATGTACAGGTGTTTGTAGTGCCTCTCGCTATCAAGTCCACGGATCTATTTACTATATTTTTTGCGTAGCAGTCACTGCTACACAAATGCGGAACTGATTAGCGACTCCCAGTGTTGATAAGCAGCCTGGTGTGCAACTGTGCGTGTTACTGGACACGAAGTCAGTATTACTTATAGTTATACTAACTGGTACGCTGAGGAAGGATATGGCTATGGGTACATGGTCAAGGCCAAGAGAAAGGTATCCGGACTGCCTAGATCAGTAACCGGGTAAGTGTTTGTGCACGACTGCAGGGTATCACCATGATCACGCCAGCCTACAAGTGACCGTACGGCTAAGTTACGCCCTAGGGTGGGTAACATGTAGACGCCTATGCTGTTAGCTCAGCTAGCTCCGGAAGTGCACGTAAGAGAAAATATGCGAAGCTTGTCTTGCAGGTGCTAGCACCGTGAGCCGGAGAAATCATCCATGCAAAGAAATAAGCAGGAAGAAGCGGCCGTTTGGAACGCATTTCGACCGATTTTTGGCTGCTAAGTGCTACGTGGGGTAACTAACTGACCAGACTCGTTCATCGCGGCCAAACCAATCGTGACCACTGATCCAGAGGAAGATAGATAGAGAGAGAGACAAGAGAGAGAGAGCAAGAGAGAGAGAGAGAGAGAGAGAGAGAGAGAGAGAGAGAGAGAGAGAGAGAGAGAGAGAGAGGAGAGAGAGAGAGAGAGAGAGAGAGAGAGAGAGAGAGAGAGAGAGAGAGAGAGAGAGAGAGAGAGAGAGAGAGAGAGAGAGAGAGAGAGAGAGAGAGAGAGAGAGAGAGAGAGAGGAGAGAGAGAGAGAGAGAGAGAGAGAGAGAGAGAGAGAGAGAGAGAGAGAGAGAGAGAGAGAGAGAGAGAGAGAGAGAGAAGAGAGAGAGAGAGAGAGAGAGAGAGAGAGAGAGAGAGAGAGAGAGAGAGAGAGAGAGAGAGAGAGAGAGAGAGAGAGAGAGAGAGAGAGAGAGAGAGAGAGAGAGAGAGAGAGAGAGAGAGAGAGAGAGAGAGAGAGAGAGAGAGAGAGAGAGAGAGAGAGAGAGAGAGAGAGAGAGAGAGAGGAGAGAGAGAGAGAGGAGAGAGAGAGAGAGAGAGAGAGAGAGAGAGAGAGAGAGAGAGAGAGAGAGAGAGAGAGAGAGAGAGAGAGAGAGAGAGAGAGAGAGAGAGAGAGAGAGAGAGAGAGAAGAGAGAGAGAGAGAGAGAGAGAGAGAGAGAGAGAGAGAGAGAGAGAGAGAGAGAGAGAGAGAGAGAGAGAGAGAGAGAGAGAGAGAGAGAGAGAGAGAGAGAGAGAGAGAGAGAGAGAGAGAGAGAGAGAGAGAGAGAGAGAGAGAGAGAGAGAGAGAGAGAGAGAGAGAGAGAGAGAGAGAGAGAGAGAGAGAGAGAGAGAGAGAGAGAGAGAGAGAGACATAGAGAGAGAACAGAGAGAGAGACAGATAGAGATAGAGAGATCATTGGAGAGAGAGCATGAGAGAGACAGACAGACATAGACAGAGAGAGAAAGCTGCTGAGCAATACACATGTAGTGTACTGTCTTAATGTCACAGCTGTAACCAGCATCAACCAATGCGGCGATGAGTGCTGCTGGCAGTTGCACTGCTTCTTCTAGGACGATTAGCGTCATTCGTGGCATTGAGCTATCGAAGCCGATGTGAACCTCCGCCAGTTCTGGCCGGCTTCATACCAAACCAGTACTTTCAGGATCAGAGAATGTGCTTGTGATCCGGGCAGGTGCTGTAAGATATATTGCCTAATGTAGTAGTCATGTAATCACACAGTGCTTGGACCATGCAACAATGTCTACTGCGGGGTAGACTTTGTGGGCTGCCGGCAGTGGTCGCATTCAGTAAGAGAACGCACAACGTCTCCTGTAGGGAAGGTACACATACTCACCCCGTGGCCAGTAGAGAAACGGTAAACTGCACTGGTGGAAGCTATGATTGCATTGGTGTGCTAGACACCCTCGTCAATGAGATGTTGTGCCGGTATTCTGTGTGAACTACATGGCATTAACCGTTGGATGGGAACGACAGACAGTGCGAATGCTCTTGGTCTGGTGCTGTGACCGGCTACCGACGTAGGGGCCAAAGATCGCTGCATCAGCCTTGACTATCTATGTTTCCAAAATTTACAAACTACTTGTACGTCAACAGTAAGCTAACTGGCAGCTCAACAAACGGATCAAGCAAGACGGTTAGTTTACTAGGAATTACATGTACATGTATGTACGTTGGCTTAGATCTACTGATCAGCGTCATAATTGCAAACCAGTGTCCACTAATGCAGTAGTGGAGTACAGCAACAGACCCTTGGCGAAACATGTGGAGGTCGGGTCATGGCCTGTAGAAGTACATGTAATTGCGTCAAGAGGAACTTACGTATTACCCTATTCTTTGGGTACACAATAGGTGTGACGCTTGGCCACATTTGACATGTGTTACCGGACATGAACAACTGTGCTATATCGTGGAATGGATATGAGTTTATGCACACTGTCACTGATCTGGCAATGTTGTGCCCAGAGCAATGACATACAACATGTATGCTGGCATCAAGTCAATAGACTCAAACTGAGACCGAGCAACCACCACTGCACCAGTCCATCACGCCATTTGGTACACGTAACACAACAAGATGCTGAATATCTGTGGGGCCAAACAGTCAAGTGATTTAAGTAAACTATTCGTTGGCGAATATGTTTGTACTCTTCAACCAACCAATTGCTTCAAATAGAAGTTTTCAAACTCTAGTGGGAGATGGTGAAGATCAGGTCTGAGGCGCTAGGCGGAGACATGCTTGACCTGCACCATCACAGATGACACGCGTCGTAATGTAACTCGTTTCTAGTTTGCCACGTCATGAACTCAGCGCCGTCCGTGCATATGCCGGGCGTTGTTGGCTTCCAACTGCAGTGAAGATGCTTTTTCGGACTCGTCGGCGCTCCGCAACTGACGGCGTCTTGAGCAAAGCGGCTTCCCACGCATATGGCCTCAAAACTTCTGTCTTCGGGTACCCTGTGTCAGTGTGTGAGTGTACATGTACGTATCAAAGGAGCGGCTCACGATTGCCGTCTATCTCATCGCACCTGCTGTGAAGCTTGAAGGATGACTGCGATCGTGCGCACGGCCTCAGTCGTACTAATGCACGATAAGTGAAACCACTTTTTCGGACTTTTGAACTGCTGCGCGTACTAGTAGAGGAGTTGTGACAGGCACGGCGACCGGCAATGGACAGGAATAACGTTAGACTTGCGAAATGCGTACACGTGAGTCGTACGGGTCGCATCCAGTGGGCGTTGGGAGAAATGTCCGAAAGTCGGACTGGGACAACACGCAGCGCGAAGCCCTCCAATGCAGCTGATGTCGTTACTGAAATGAGTAAATCGCCCTACAACTGTCTGCAACGTCGCTATGGTACGATAGCAGCCTGTACTAGGCTGTAGTAGCTGGAGCTGGAGGAACAGCATCACACTACTGACTGTAATAACGACGTATTTCAGATCCTAACGTTAGGCTAGAGCCGTAGCAGAGGTCTGGTGAATGTGCCTGCGCTGTTTGGTGATGCGCTTCGCCATGCACGCAGCTGCGATTGCGTCTCCTGGGACCTTACCAACAAATGCACCGGCCGAGCGTTGTGCCCCTGTGTTCCGTATTTTTTTCCTATTGACGCAGCCCTACTGTATGACAGTGCTGTGCTGCAGTAACACATAAGCAACCGACTACAGACTGCCTAGTCAGTCCATGTACCCAGCTAACTCCCGGTGCTTTCGTTTGGGTGTTTCGGCTTCCCGGGGAAGCCGGGCGAGAGGAAACGGTCCCCACAGGTCGCGGGACAGAAATAGCTATACGGGCGCTTTCATGCCATGTCTATTAGATGCAACCTGTCATTCCTCTTGGCCACCAGAAAATAAAGACATTTTAGTCGATTGGCTTCTACAATGTGTGTACTAGTTGTGCCTCACTGTGCGAATCGTCCTGGGCTCGAAGACAGGTCTGCACCGGGCGCTTTCGCATGCCACTACCATGCCCTTAGAATTTCTGCATGTTGATTGCATGAACATTGGTCTAGCAGTCATACATGTAGGTGCTCGTGAAGTTCCCCTCTCAATACTAGGAAGCCTCTCTCTATCGGCCGCTGCTTCTTCAATCTGTATTGACAGGTGTACCACCTGCACAGACATAATACTATTAGAACTTAGCTATGATGGGATGCATTCGAATAGGGCTATTATACATACGGCACATAGCACCGTGGTGCTCTGTGACGTGTGAACCTCAGTAGCCATGATGTTGAAACCGTCTCCGACTTGATCTGCTGTGTTGAGCTTGACAGCTATAAATTGTCGGTTATCGTTGCACATTTCACTAAACCTACTTTCACAGTTCTTTTGTAAAATATTTCAGTGCTGTCTTTTTCACGTTCTTCTCTCAGGACGCTTCTTCGACTGCATACAAGAAGTTCCTTAGCCATTGGAAAATCGGAGGTCTATCCAGGAAGTCCTCCACCTTTGATGACGTCCGCCAGCCAAGAAACTGCCATGCCTACTGCAACTGCAACTCCCAGCGCTTCGCAGCCTGCGCATGGCAATATCATGTCTGCTCACGCCTCGCCACCAATAGTACCCAATGCCCCCACCGCCCAGAAACTCTACGTGGTCAACGCTCCTGGGCATCATCAGTACGCTGCACCTGGTCCGGCCCATGGTGGTTACGTGACCTTCCTATCCTTTCCGGGGGGCCAACACGGGCAGATCTCCGTCACTGGTGCTCCAGCTACCGTGCCCCAGCATGCATGTCATGATTACAGCAGCAGCCGGGCCATGTACCCAGCGGACCCAGACTGGACACTGGCAGGCAGACCGGCAGCTATGCAGCATCCACTTCCCACTGCCCCGTGGACTACCACTGTTGTTTTCCCACGACCTGCACCCATCACCACCAACAACAGAAGCAAGAACAACAGCAACGGAGAGTATAGGAGATCTTCAAAGGCGTCCTGCAAGCAACCTAAGTGCAGGGTTTCTTCCAGACAGAGCAGGGAGCAGCGGAGGAGACTCTCTAGCAGCGACACAAGTGGCTACCATACTCCATCAGTCGGCAGTGAATTTGGCCTGTCCGAGTTTGGTAAGCCTCTCCTGTCACCGCCACTCACAGAGTCTACGCACAGCAATGTCAGCATAGACATCTCGCCTCAGAGTCCAGCCACATCAAGTTGTGATGAGGAGCAGATTGTGGTGGTGGATGAGGACTTCACTGACGACGAAGATGAATCGTTTTGTGCTAGTCCCAATAGCGATGATGTCGTGCAGCAGGATGGAGTGGGGGACACCAAGAAATTCATCTGCAATGTCTGCTGTGATGCCTTCTCGTGCATGTCCGAGTTACGTCTTCACCATCGCGAGCAGCACGTTCAGAAACGCCCGTTCAAGTGTGATCTCTGCGACAAGTCCTTCCAACATCCGTATAGTCTGCGAGTTCACCGTCGCAGCCAGCACAACGACGTCAGCGCCTGCAGCATGTTCCCATGCGAGCACTGCACACGGGAGTTTGCGTCCGCAGCGTCGCTGCGCGTGCACGCGAGAATGCACACCGGAGAGCGTCCGTACCAGTGTCACACCTGCTTGAAGACGTTCATGCGCTCTCATCAGCTGAAGATGCACGAACGCATACACACTGGCACCAAGCCACACGCCTGCAAGATCTGCGGCAAATCCTTCACCCAGTTCAAATACTTGAAAGAACACTGCCAACGACATGCTGGTTACCTGCCACACGAGTGTTCCGTCTGCAAGAAACGGTTCCTCAGACCCAGCCACCTGAAGAAGCATATGCGAGTACACAGCGGCGAGTGTGAAGGCAGCGGCAGCAGCAGCAGCTGTCCCATCAGTACTTGTGTGTTTCAGGCACAGTCCGATCTTCAGAGGTGAACACGCACCTAGCTTCGCAGTGTTGCCATTCATGAAGCGGCACGGCCAGCAGCAGCACATTGTCAGCATGGGAAGAATTTAGGTCTGTCCCACGAACAAGCATTGTCCCACAGTGGCTCTAGACTGGCTTATACAGTAGAACCTGTCAAGGCGACCACCTGTCGAAGAAGACCACTGGAACCAGGATCAAGGGATGCTATTTCCAGTCAATTGACCCTGGATAAGGAGACCACCTGGTAACAGAGACCACATCTTGAAGGTCCCTTGAGCGGTCGCCTTAGACAGGTTTCACTGCATTGGATTCTAATGACAGCAACACGTGGCTATAGTCAGTGATGATAACTGAGACTATTCATAACAGCTAGACTACATTGTACAGCTAGACTCCATTGTTCCATACCTACCCACCAAACCAAAGGAGAGAATTTATTTAGGAATTATGAGCTTCTATTATCAGTTTACAAATTTCAAGTATTTTCAGTCGTAACGACTACTTCACAACGTTACTTACAGTGCAGTTAGGGTCCTATGTAACCATGTGACTCCTAACCACTAAAGCACTAGTCGAAAAATAGCATTGTTATACTATTAGTTATTTGTCGCTTCCTGTCCGTGTTACGCTGCTGTGCACGGCGATTGAGCTGAGGACCTACAAAGTACAAGTCTATTTTTCGCGGATTCATGTTCAGCTATATATTTTTAATATGAAGCGCTGTGCATAATCGAGTTGAAGCCTGACCTGAATGAACTGCGTGTGCAAAGGCACTATGATTGTATGATGGTCGATCTACGTGTCACCTTTTCTTCATTACACAGTGCTGCCGAAGAATAAGATCACTGGTTTCTGTTATTTGCCATACCCATCACACTGCCCTGCTCTGCTGATGATATCACTGTTCAACGGTTATACCAATCTTTGAGGGTGCAACATCACTGCCACTTGCCACTACATGTACTAATATTACACTCAATATGTCAACATCTCTTGGTCCATGGCATGCATCGAAAATGGATGTATACATGTACACGTGATGATGGAACCTGATGTTGGTCAAAGACCGGATAGGCCTTGACAGATTATGCTAATATTTTCGTGAAATTATGCTTTTCGCATTGCTGAAAAAATTGCAGAATTATGCTATTTTTATGCTAAAAGTTGGTATTTTTGGTAATGATTTATTTGAATTCGGTATCTCAACAGTACATTGTACAACTTGGGAAGATCCGAATGACATAGATACATAAACATAAAAGTGGAGTAGGTGCTACAGCTGATCATTTTATCGCAGGTTGTGGGACTAAACTAATACTTGTACCAGTATGCAAGTACACAAGAAATAAAAGCTGAATAAATACGACTGCATGACATTGGAGAAAAGCACCAATTAGAGCAAAACAAAGCGACACATCACTCATTGAAAACATTTTCAAAAAGGAGCTGTTTTAACCGGGTACATTGTGGCCCGTCATTAAGAAGGCAGGCAAGGTGGGCGTTAAATGCAGAAGACGTATTGCAAGACTTCATTTCAAAGGGCAGAACATTCCAAAGTAAAGCAATCCTACTAGACAATGAGCGATACCCGCATGCTGTCTTATATCGGCATAACGAAAGATTATTTGCAGAAGAGCCGCGAGTGGTGTAAGCAGGTGTACTGTGCCTACAAAATAGAGAATCTAAACTGGCAACCGGGTGAGCTACTTTACACTGAAAGATAAATTTGATGAACAACTGTAAGAAACGGTGGTCCAGAGGACATAGCTTTTAAAGAGAGTGGTAAAGGGGGTCCACGTCAGCACAGTAATGGGCACCACAGGCAGCTCGGATCGCACGACGGTGAACAGAGTTATCATATTATGCCGCATCATGCTCACATATTCTGCTAATGTACATGTACATGTACATGTACATGTATAATTATGATGGTTCTGTGCAAAATAACAGGTGAATTTTTTGTAGAGGGCGTTGTACTGTAGTAGCAAAAGTTCAACGGGGTCAACGCTAACCCTTTCCCAAAGGTGCTCGCCCTTTTTTCGCCCTTTTTGGCCCTTTTTGGAAAAGCCCGTTTCTTTCGCCCTTTGGCTTTATTGCGTTTTTTGCGTAAATATCGCTCTTTTTGAGCTTTTTTAGCTGAAACTTGTGAAAGAGTGCTAAAATCTGTTTGCTCATGCACGCGATCACAGTTCCCGAGTGCTCGATGGGCCTCGTGCCCTCAGCACGCGGTTTTTTTGGAGCAACAAGTTGGTGAAGCTTGTACCCGGTGTACACAAAATTGATAATAATAGACTCAACGCACCGTCCGACCTAGCTACGACCGTCACCCTGGTCACTGATTGTAGTGGACTGGACATGTTATCAAGGGAGTCGTAAACCTACGCCTTCCTGGTGCGTCTACTTGTACTTGTACTTGTAGAACATGTACAACTGTATGGAATTTGATGCGAACAGGCGGATTATTCCAGTTTTATGCGATTCGTATGCAATTTGCCTCGAATTATGCGATTATTCGATTTTGGTAGGAATTATGCGAAAAGTATGCTAGCATAATCTGCCAAGGCATAAGACCGGAACGTTGAAGGATCGTCCTTACCAAATTAGCAACAGTAATCTACTGAAGTACATACATGTAAAACATCACTGGATGGATCCTGAGAGAGTGAGTACACAAGTACACTGTACACGTACATGTGTAAAGAAATGAAGAAGAAAAAGAGGATAATAGCGACATCAGTGGGGTTAAGTGGGGTTTTTATTCTATTTTTTACTGAATACCACACGGTCCACAGAACCATCAGATGCTGCACAGCGGGGGCGGTGGCATATTGGATGGAAGTGGTCAGTTAGTGGTGGCGGGCAAAGTAACTCCTCTGACCAAAGGTCTTGGATTCATCGTTACTCCTGTGCGATCAAGACGCTGTGGGTGAATGTGTCAGGTGGAATTCAGCGGGACTTTTTTACCTGAAAGACGCAGCTTTTCCGCTGAAGGACGTTACCATGGAAAAGGCGGAAAGTTTCCGCGCATCTTCGACTGAATGGCTGAAACGTGTGCCGTGTGACCGTGGCCTAAAACCATTTTTTAGGTGAATCCGACGAGGTGATTTCTTCTCCAGTATATGTTGTACCCATAAAAGAGTCTCACAGTACCAGAAAAGCATTCCATACCACTACTTCTCAAATCCGTAGATGTGCGTGATACAGGAATACTGTCCAGCGATCAAGCACGACAAAGTCAGCAAGTGGGTCCGTGCTTATTCTTTATTAGGCTATACACTGTATACACTGTACTAAGGCTTATACATGTAGTTACATGTACATGTATACTATACAATAATGTACATGTACATACAATGACCATGTACTTGACGGAAAATTGTGCACTACATTCGTTGAAAACAGACAGCTGCGCTACTCAGGCAGTGCCTACAAGCGACTACAACTAATTACTTACAAGGACTTACATGTACATGTAGGGGTGTGCTCCTGTACATGACGAATGTAACAAGAATTGCGGCATAGTTAGTACTACTAGTAATAGTAGCTAGGAAGCACACAAGCCATTCTTTAAAATATTATTATTTATATAGGTTGATGGTGTTGTTTGACGACATGTAACACTAACAAGGTGGAGGACCACCGTGTTCGGAAACACCTTTCTACAACCATCCACAGTTGGTTGAGCCCCGGTCTTGCGACCATCTGAACCGTATGGGTGTAAGCCTCGGTTCTGATCCTCAAGACGTCTTGTTGTTGTTGTACCGTCAGTCAAAAGAAAAAATAGAGAGCAGAAAGACGAATAATTCAGAACAAAATCTACTAAGTTTATGAGGATTGAGTGTCAAGAAGACAGGAGAGGACAAAGAATACACGTCTTTCTGCTCTTTTTTTTCTTCTTTTTGTCAACTTCTGCCCATGGCGTCCCTCTCTCAGCTCGTCAGCTGACAACAGTTACTGTCACCACCATGACACTGTCGTGAGCTGAAGGTGTTCTCTGTAGAAGAGGTTGAGGTTGGTGATAATGTTGATGTCTCCTAATTGCATCCCTGGGCATTTGCTTGGGTGTTTCAAGTTCTAGACAAGCCCCCACAGGCCGCGGGACCGTCACCAAAGTCGGTAGCTAGCGTTACAAGTCATGTGTATGGTATCTCTCCACCGCTTTGCCACCGGTGTGTTGGTCCTCTTGCGCACCAGCAAACAAGAGACAGGAGCAATTATTTTGAATTTGGCTAACTACATTCGATATTCTACAATGTACTAGTATCTTGCGCCTGTCATTGACTGGCTTCGCTCGGTGACTGTGCATGTGCCGAATGCGTTCATATCGAGCTAAATATTCGGTCATGCTGACATGTAATTGTTTATTGTCCCAGCAGCCAGAGGTGCTTGTCCTGATTACTCCATCAGCCGTTGCTCCTTCGATCTGCATGGACAATTGTGCCCCATGTAACGTGTACTGTGTACCATGGTGCACTGGTCTAATGCCATTACTGCACTAGTATTAGATCAGAACAACATGAGCATTTGTCTTTCAACCGAACAGCGTGTTTCTCTGGCCAGGGCGGCTGACACTCTTTCTAAAAGCTTCTCTAGCTAGGGCGGCTGACACTCTTTAAAGAGGTGCTTGAGAACTTTTTAACGGCTGCCTGTAGGCTAGCTGTGGATGCGTAGAGGCGAAAGCGCCTGTATAATAATATTAAAATATTATCATGTAGGTACTCTTGATTGAACTGACATTGTTTGACCGTTTCTATCAGCTGATCCAAAGAGACACAGACTAACCTTGTTCAACCGTTTCTATCAGCTGATCCAAAGAGACACAGACCAGCCTTGTTCAGCCGTTTCTATCAGCTGATCCAAAGAGAGGCACAATGCTCTTGGCACTTACGATCAGGTGTGCCTCGCTGATCATATTAATATCTTGCCTGTCCGCCAGACTGTGTCATTGACACCGAAACAAGAGAGAGATACATGTACAGCCATGACTGTGACACCATGTACGTATCGTTAGACTAGAGACGCTATCGCCAGAGCCTGAGACACAACGAGAAAATCCTGTTCTTTTGTTTGATATTCCCTTCGCGGCTCCTCCAGGGGCTAGCTATCCATGCTTCCTAAACATAATAATTATTATACCGGTACCGGCGGTACATGTAAAGTAAGAAAAGTAAAGTTTGAACGTCCGCGTTACAACCGGCTATGAGAAACACAACCAGCTTAGGAAGTTTCGCTCGTGGGAGGCCAACACTGTGCCTGAGACTGTGATACCAGGGTGGAAGACGCAGCGCCTAAACGGCGTACCGGTAGATGCATGACTGTATACTCCTTGCAAATCATCATTTCGGATTTGTGTGTTTGGCTGGGCATGGCAGTACCGGTACATGAACAAGTACATGTTAACAAAGTGATAAAACGTGTTCCTGCCTAGTATAGTACTGGTACCAAGAGTTAATTAAATAAGCTTTTTTTATAAACTATAATAATACTTTCAAGTACAAGTATTACACAAGGCAGAAGAACAGACCAAAAGCTTTCTCGTTACTCCGAGTTTCGTGTTCAAAAAACACTCATCAGACGAAAAACGTGATGTGCTATTCGCTAGTTATACATGTACATGTACATGTATAGCAGGGTTCTAGCCAAAAGAGGGGTAGGGGGCGCAGCGCCCCCCCCCCCCCCCCTCCGCCTACTCTGTTTGCACGCCCCCTGTGAAAAAGTGCCAGTAGAAGGTACGAGGGGGGTTCTAGCACAAAGTTGACCCCGGACGTGACCTTTCGATGGGTTGACATGACCCTGTCAATTTTTGACGTGACCCTGTCACTTTTTGACGTGACCGTGTCAGAAATGTGACAGGTTATTTCGACATTACATGTACTTTATTTTGACCAGGGAGTCGTCAAATACCATTTGGTATTTGACGACTCCCTGATTTTGACGTGTTGACGTGTTTCAATCACGTGCTTACCAGAAATGTCACGATTAATTTGTGATTAATATGCATGTGGGATGTTGTGAGAACTCAGTTTTGCGATTCACGTCATCAGAATATTTTTATTTATTTATTCAACATCTTATGACTTCCGATGGCAGCCAAAACGGAAAGATGTGGGTGATAGCCAACCATGGTAAAAGAAGGAGAAGATTACATGTATATACATGTACCTGTACATTGTATTGTATTTATTTAAAAGGATTCTCCAAAAGCAAATGGATGCTTATCACGGAAGTCTCCCACATAAATATCGCAAGAAAAATGGGGAAATGGGGGAGAGGAGAGTGGAAG